GCCTTGCCCCCAAAGCTCTAAACTGTTTGTGCAACCTCGTAAGGGTTTACATGGTCACTTCATAAACCAATCAGATAACAAATGAACAGTGCAACTGCTGGAGGGCCAAGCCCAAGAGCCATCTAAGTTGCGGCTAGAGGTTTAAAGGGGCTGTTGCATTTTACTGACTTCCTGCTCACTTTCAACACGACAAGTGCTCATGCAGCAGCTGTCAGTCACCAAGGATAGAGCATCCAAGTCCTAGGATGAATTCCCTGTCTGTTTAGACAATATATAGTTCACTGACAGGTTTAAAAAACAAGCAACATGCTCGGGAACTGTTGTAGTGACACTGAGGAGGCAGCACTGCAGATTTGGAACTCTGCTTATTTGCGAACCGGTTAAGATTGCATTTAGGATCACATTAATGGTCTGTTGCTGTTTGTCACTTGCAATTTAATTGTTTAACATCTTATTAGAATACATGTAGGAGGGCACATTAATAAATTCTTCTGGAGGAAACATCAGTGTGAAGTAGGCTGTTATAAAACTTATTCTACCATGAAAATGGGGAAAACAGTGCCTGTGCTAGCTTTACCACGTAAGCAATGAGTCTAAAACAGCAAATATCTGTGGGTTGAGAAGGAAGTGGAAAGGCGAGTACAAGGTTCTGACAGTTGCAACTATGTTGCCACACGCCCAGGGGTGGTCGGAGCAGGAAGGGTGGAGGCATCTCAAGGAAGAGAAGTATCCGTGCAGGTCCCCTCAAGAATTCTGTGTCCAGAAGGAGGTGGAAAATACTGAGAGGAGGCTGGACCAGTTTCTGGTGATTACTTCACCCCAGACCAGCTAATTGAAGTTAGGTGCAAAGGGGCAAAGTCATCCTGTGATGTGTCTTATTCCTGAAGAGAAAGGGGATAGAGGGGTTCTTTATTGTGACTGCTGAACTCAGACAGATCCTGTGATCCTCTCTGTTCTGAGCTCATGCTGCCTCCCTTCCAGATGTGTCGAGAGCAGTGTAGAACAGGGCAGCAATCCCTCACTGCAATTAAGGGACAATCTATGCAATTTGGGAAGGAGCCAAGAGAGTTGTGGCTTTATTAGGTAACCAGTGAGAGCTGCTGCATAGACAGACAGTTTAGAAATGATATCTAAACTGAAGCTAACTTGTCAGCACCATCCCTAGACTCCTGGCAACCCTGGGTGAACTTTTAGTATCAGGCCCCACTTTGCCAGAGATAATTTAAAAATTACCATTTTTGGGACCCCTTTCTGTCTGGGCCCTGAGTGGCCACCCAGTTCGCCCATGCCTGTGTCCAGCCCTGACTATTGTCATCATCACCCTAGAAACTGGCCACCAAGTCTGATTTTCCCCAGAGATCCAGCCAAGCTGTTGGATGATTAGCAATAGAAAGTGACAAATAAATCCCTGAATAAAAGTTGCTGTTTCCCAGGGCCATCTTAGAACCTAGGATTATTTGTACAGATCTAGCAAGCACAAACTTTGGGCTTTAAAACACATTAAAATGCATCTGATGCCTGGCTGGATATCAGGACTCACTCTTTGGTGAGCATTAGCCATTTTGATCTGAGCCTTGTTTATCTACAGCCCATGCCTACCGCACACCTACTGTGTTCAAAGACTGAAGCTCTAGAAAGAGGAAACAGGGGGACCTGATGCTTTGAAAAAGGACAGAGCCTGATCCAGCTTTCAGTATAAATGCCTGCTTGAAATTATTACCTAGTCAGTGAAAGTACTACTCTCTGTGCTCCTTATTAACATGTAGAACACACCGTTCATCTTCACCCAGCATGCCCACCAAGTGCTAAACACGACAGGAAAAATGTCTGACCCAAGCCAATCAGCAAAGCAAACTCCCCCCTTTATTGTATGCAGCGATCCCTGTGCCCTAAACTCCATCCATCTCAGCATTTGCACAGAGGATTTTGGTTGTCAGGGTACTAATTGGAGTATTACACCCCCTCCTTGGGGACAGCAGTATTACACTGAAAGGATGAATGAGCTGCTAGCTACTGATGGCTTGAAGTGCAAGAGGCTTAACACCATTTTGATGGCCAGTTCTCTCAACATGTAGATTAGATTGCCTTCATTGTGTTGCTGAACATGGGCACAAAAAACAACTGATGCATTAAGACTAGAGGCTTATTAATATTTGAGTTTATCATTCTTTTACCTTATATACCCATCACTCCCCCTTATTAAATTGGCTTTCTGTGTCTACTCCACCAGGGTCAGTACCCAAGGATCATTTTAGTTTGTGAATCAGCCACGACAGATCAGAGTTTAGGCAAAGCTGCAAAATTAATTTTCAGGCTTTGAACACCACAAGATTTGGATTTGCAGTTGAAATGCTGTAGATATAGGGACTAGCCATAAAATGGATGGTCCATTTGGTGATGGCCCATCTGGTGATGACTGTGGGAGGAGGTCTTCTGATAGTAGGGTTTTAGTCTGGACTCCTCTCTGAATTATATCTGCTTTGCAATTAATCCAAAGGCAGACAGGAAGAGATTCCCACATAGGCAAATAGCACTGTTTTGCTGTGCAGAAATACAACATTTGAGTGGGCAAACAATCTAAATAATACTTATCAGAACACCCCTGCTCAGGTTGCCCTGGCTCTTCCTTCTGTGCAGTCTTTATTATTGGCTTTATTATTCTTATCAGCATGTAAACCATCCATCCTTGGTAGAGCTGGACTGTCTATCAGAAAGCAGTTCTCTGTCACTCGTCTTGTGTACACTTTAGTACTCTGTGTACTTCCTAGACTCTCTGCTTTTTGGGGTAGGTCTGTCTTTTCTTTAGATGTATGTTACAGTACCAAGCATAGGGGAGCTATTTCCTACCATGGGGCTTCCAGATGCCACCAGAATACAAAGTAATAGTAATAATAAGACTTCACTACTGATCATGAGTGTACATACAAATTAAACTTGCTTACCTGCTAGATAACATAAAATTGCCCCATAATAAACCAAGAAAACAGCTAGAACTGTTGTGTAAGGATTATTTGGTGAATCACATAGTCTCCTTTTAATATGATATAATTGATCATGGCAGGTTTTCATGTGTACTGCAGCTTTCTGATTTTTCATTATACCTTTCCTAGAACCTGACTGGTGGTGTGAGTCCTTCAAACCAAATGACTGGGTGATAACCCCTGTTCCCACTGATTCTTTCTGAAATGCATGTAAATCTCAAGCACTGTGACTTCTAAATAAGGGAGAAGATTAAATATCACTGGTAAGAGATTTGTTTTTCTTGCTGCTTCAGCAGATGTTTAAGCAGTTCAGTTTTCTCACACTGTAGCCCTGTAAAGTCCATCCAGTTGAAGTGATTTCCAAATCTGTAAGCAGAACTTCCAGTAATAATAACAAAAGGAGAAACTGTGTTCCTAACATCCTAGCAGACATTTATGACAATTCAGCTACTAGTACATAAATTCCCAAAGAAACACTGTTATGTCCACAAATATGAATGTTCAAGAATTATCTGAATATATTTAAAATATGTTTTTAGATTTTCTTTGCCCTACAGTTATTTTTGAACAAGACCATGACATAAAAGACAGTATAATACACACACATCACACCAAAACTAAATATGTGCTATATAGTCTCCAGTTTGGGCATAATACAGGACAGAATTCCCAAGTTCTGTTGTGTATGTAGATATTGGGATACCTGCAAATTTGTGCTCTAAAAGTAGCACCCACCACTTTCTAAGTATGTGGTGCTGTAAGGTAGAGTAAACCTACACCGTAATGAAACATGATGTCTAACGCGTGGTGAGAATGTGAGCTAATAGTGCTGAGGGAGATTGTTGCTGTTACTCACTGGTCTTACTGAATACTGCCATTTTTAATACAGAAAAATATTAGGGTTGAGCATATTCCTTCCAGTCAGTGCAAGTTTCTCTGCTTTAAGTGCAGTTCAAATACAGTCCAATCCTTTTCAGAAGCAACATGTTGCTACATGGTTCTGTGTTGCTCTTAAGTGGTGCTTGCTGTTATAGACAGTGCTGTTTTACTGCCTGGGAGTAAAAAGACTCCCACAAGAAGTACTACTGGTGACTGGCTGTTGCTCTTACCAAGTGGTATTACAGATGAGTGTCAGCTTCGAGCAGGGGACATGCTCCTTTGACATGGTTTTGTTGACATATAGAAGTATGAACATCTACTCCTCTTTCAAGATTGTAATGACAATTAAAAATGGGACTATTATACATCTATATGGTACCGTTCACCATGACAAAGTCAAAGTCACTTTATACAAATTGTTGATGGTAAATAGCAGATTCATCAGCTAAGGAAATGTAGCCATTTTTATATACAGTGTAATGCCTGTTTTAACAGCAACATCACACAACAGCTTACTGAAAAGCACCACTGAAACTGCTGGCAAAATTTAGAGTTGGAAAGATAAAATTATCTGAATTGAAATGAGTTCCAATGTCTTCAGCAAACACCACTCCTATTATTCAAAGAGATAATGGGATTTTTATTTAATAACTTCAAGAGGCCTAGGTCTCAATTTTATGTCCTACCAGAAAGGCAGTCTTTCTAGCAGTTCACTGGTCCTTAAATACCAGGTGAAAGGCAGAGGTTAATGGAGAAGATTTAATACTGAAGACCCAAATCCACCCTTGATTTTTTTTCCTTTGGAGATTTCTGGAAGCTCTGACCCAGCTCAACAAGTACAAATGTTTGCACATAGCAGGAAACTTCATTGCACTGTCACATTAACCACAGGCTCTTTAAGGATGCAAAATTTTGACCAACGTCTAACACATTGTACCCACTGAGAATAAATTAACACAAAGGAAAAGCAAATTAATTTGCCCTCTAAGAATCTATTTTGTTAAATGCTCTAGGGAGCTATTAAATTAAGCTTGCTGCATGCTGTACACACATTGCAGAAACAATTTCAATAGGCATTTCCAGACAGTGCATATGCAACCACAAACTTTTCAAGGACTATTTGCTTCTGGGTCACTATGTTTAGCTGGAAAGCTTACTTTTCTTTGCCATGGAAGGAAAACCATTTAGATCTTCTTGTTCTGTAACATCATGATCAGAGCTATCGTGGGAATTGTCCTTCATGACACTGTAGTATACTGGGATGTTATACTGAGTGACGTTTTCAGTCCTCTTCTGCTCACATTTGCATAATTTTCGGAAAGCAGCTCTAAATTTCTGAGACATCAGGTTGTAAATGATGGGGTTGATGGCACTATTCAGGTAGATGCACATCCTACAGAAGAGGAGGAACCAGATGTTCAGGTAAGGAGGGTCCATGAAGGAGTTGACCACGACCAATGTGCGGTAAGGCATCCATAGGACAGCAAAGAGGATCACTACCACGGCCAACATCTTGGTAACCTTGAAGGTTAAGGGAGGGGAGAAAAAGAGCGTCTGATGTTACATCTTTTCTAACAGAATCTTTCAACTTTAAAAACTCTATAGAATATGACTTCAAGGACTGTGCATCACCTAAGCTTTATTTACCCTTTATTTTAAAGGCTTACAGTGGTACATAGATATTGAGCAAGTTCTCTGCATTTCACCCCATGTCCTATTTGATACAAGTAATAGTTCTGTGGTGGGTGTCCCATCATCATTCAAGACATTTAAAACCCTGTTAAGAACAATCATCCTTTGAAGGAGATGAACTAGAAATGCCCAAGGAGGTCAGAATTTCTATGATTGAATGCAATTTTGAAAATTGCTTTTAACAACAACATTTGATGGGGAATCTATCTTATGTGCAGAGCTGAAAGCCCAAGCAAGAGGCATTGAAATTACTTTGCAGATGTAATGGCTTGTTCAGACCCCATTGGCTTTCTGCTCAATTTAAACAGTTCAGATACAAACAATTCTGCCAGTCACTGGCGTTAGAGCACCCAGTGTCTTGCATAAATTCCTAGTTTCTTCAGACAAAGGTTGCGGGGGGGCAGTTCATTTCTTCGGCACTTATTTATTGGATACACAGGATGCAAAGCAGATGTTTATAACAGCAGTGAGTGTGTATTAAAGGTAAATGCACCCCTAAATGTTAAAAAAGGGTGAGTGTAATTTTTCTTCCGAGAGCACATTTCTGTCAAGTTCATATCCTCTTTTCTGGTTTTTTGAAAATATGTTTTTTACTTGGTTACAGGTATCATTCTCCTCTATAATGCTCGCTGCTAGAATTTGAATTGGTGAAATGTTGCAGAGTGGCACCTGGAACTGAAAGGGATTATAACCAGGCTTGGAAGCCAAAGGAAGCCTTGTGCGTACGACATTGTGGTGGTACAAAGACACTTCTTGTGCCTGGGCCATGCAGAATGTGCTATCTTCTGCCCATAGAGAGGGTGTGTTTCAGGTCAGCGATGCACAATAACAGAGTAGCGCAATAGATTCCCACATAACTCATATTGGTGATCTGGGAATAAAGAATTTCTGTCTCCAGAGGCATCAAAGCAACAAAATACAGAATAAGTGCCCCAAGCACTTTTTGCAATTGCCACATAACTATGTATAACAATGACAAGGTTTCTCTTCCCCATCTTTAAATATGTATGTAAAATATATATTCCCCTATATAGTAATTTAACATATAACATACTGATTAATTCCCAAATAAATGACAAGACAGTTTGCAAAGATTTGCTATTTACCACTGCTGGTGATGGGAGATGCATGATGTCCTGAGGATGAGGATGAGAAGGAGGGTGGACTTTACCAGTTCCAAAAATGGTAATCTTGAGGATGAATATTTGCATGTGCCAACCAAGATGTTGCAATCAATAATGACAATGAGGGTGCTGAACCTGATGCTAACGATTTTAATAGCTTAAAAAAAATCAACATAAGAAATATTGTTACAGCAATTAACTCTGTTAAATCACTCCACGTAATGAGGAACAAAGCATCCCCCTAGAAAAGTAGTGGTCAGCACAGAGAATCAGCCCAGCATGGAGACAAATGCACACAGAACATAAGGAGAGCTCACAAGTTATGCATTGTGTGTAAAAGGACCAAAGCCAGGGATTGAGCTATCTATGCCAACCAGTTGGCCTAGAATGTCTAACATTAGTTTTTCTCTGTACATGGTCTGAATAGTTCCCACTGAGTCTGTGCTTTTACCTGCTTCTCTGGTTTGCAAAGATTCTGCTGTTGGTTTGACAGCGGTTTGTTTCTGTAAGAGAACTTGAAATTACAGTTTGAGCAAAGCTGTACAATCAGCTGAAACCTACAGTAAAATGCAACCAACTGCCTGTCTGAGGCAATCTGAGTACAATTTCATTCAACATTGTATTCACCTCTACGAATATTTGTTTTACTGAGACTGGTCTCCTGTGTGCATAGAGCAGACTATGCTCCTTATTAATTTGACTAAAGACAAGTACCCTTGTTCTGTTTGAACATACATTAAAGGGATTGTTGTCCACTAAGATAAGCAGAAAAATTAGTATTAGAGATCTGGGGCTTGGTCCAAACCCACTGAAATTAATCAGGGTTTTTCTATTGACTTAAGGAAGCTTTGGATCAAGCCTGTGCTGGAAAGATGCCTGGGAGAGTGAAGCAAGTGGCTACAGAACACACTGACTAATCATCCTTTCTTTGTAATTGTAATTAAACAACTGAAGTACAGTAAGTACTAAATCTTGGCTATGAGAGTTAAATGGAGAGTGTAAGGACGGCTTTTAAGTGAAAGAAAATTTATAAAGCAGGTTGGATAACCAGTTGATAATATCTGATGACTGTTATGAAAGTAATGGTAGAAAAAGTTATAAGATGCTACAGTTGTGAACTGGTAGCATGTTGCACTGAATGTATGCTGGCAATAAATAACCATAAGGCACAGATCAATTGAGAACCAGGCCTGGTACTGATCTGCTAAAGCAATTTTAAGCAATAGTGATGACCCCCTGCCTTTTCACGCTGAGGAAAGCAAAGACATACAGTGTACCCTCATCCATGGAAAAAATAGTCATTGGAGGTCCCTAGTTCACTGTTTAATAGGGGGGAGGTGGGGGCTGGAGAGGGAGCTAGTAGAATCATGAGAGGTGGTGTCAGCTGTCCAGTTTCTTAGACTAAAGGAGGAAAGCACCTGTTCCTATACTAAGTACAACTCTGTTCTTTAGTAGGCTGGAGCTGTTTTACTGACTACAGGAAGTTGCTGAAAAGCAGGACAGGCTTAAGGGGTTGATAGGTCTAACATTTTCTAACATCTTAAATTCTCCTCATCATATTTCAATTAAAAATAAGCCTAATCTACTACATAGGTGGGCATGTGTAAGAGGGAGGTTGGGGGAGTATATCTGTGAAAATGAAAACCACCTTGAGATGGTCCCAAACTACAATTGAATCATGCTCTTAGAGAACCTAAACGAGAAGTCTAACTCTTATCTTACTGGAGAGAGTTGGTGAAATTAGACAAAATGCTTCAAAGAACATTGGTAAACTCCATATAAAAGCCATTCAGCCTCATTTACAGCACAGAGATACTTACCTTCAACCTGAAAGAAGGGGAGTGGATGACAGTAAGGGCTCTGGTAGGCAGAAAGATCAACAAGGATCTCTAAACAGCTCACATGGCAGTTGTGTTAGATCCCAGATAGTAGAGAAGAGTGAGTCAGACACATACCAAGAGAGAAGGATCAGATAAAACATCTGAGTTGGGGCTTTTTTCTAGTCTAAGTAACTCCCTCCTACAATAATCTTTCACTTCCAGAAACTCAGCTGTCTCCTTTGACTACAACTACCAGCAATCAGCACCATGGGTAAAGGGGCTGCCCTCCTCTCACACAGAAGCATTTGCTGTGTTATCTTTGCTTTATTATTGTAATAAGACAAAAAGTTACTAGTAATCTCCAACTCATGGCCATCTCCTTGTCCCACATGGGATAAGTCTTGAGCATAAAAACCACTATTGTTCACTTATTAAATATCTCTAAGTGTTCACTTATCACTTACTAAATATCTGCAAGCAAAAGAAAATGACACTTGTGAGCCTCACTTTGTCTGGATATAAAGGGTATTTTGCAGTGTGCATAGACTGCACCTAATAAACCCTCAATATATCCAGGCTGTGAAGGCAAAGTCTAGTCCTAGCATGTTGATGCCACAGTTGTGGGCAGCCCTGAAAACCTAGAGGTGGTATCTGTGGGTGTTCAATGGCCATGCTTGCACTGCCCTTTGAAATCAAAGGGAA